GAACATAAGATGGCATTAGCACTATCAGAAACTTTGTAATTCGACTTCTGTATTCATAATATCTAAAAAGTATATAAATTATGTAACATCATATAAACTATAAAGGTTTAAAATACAGTAACGAAATTACATGGCTTATTTCTATTTCTTCGATCTCACTTAGGCCTAAATCATAGTCGCGACAATTCCATAGGATAAATCAATATAATCGGCAGTATATTTGTTGATTCTTTTATTAATGAATTCAAACAATTATTAGTTAGTACGTTAATGCGCTATATCTAAACTTATATATAACTAAACTAGCTCATATATAATAAATAAAACGACTCAATATTCGCTTGGAAATTATGGCGACGAAACTTCGAATCGTGGTTGCACAAAATCGCTTATATTTCAAATTTCTGAATAAATAGTGCCCACTATTCATTAACAGACACAAAAATATACAAAGAAATCGTATTTTCATTGCTGAAAACATAACGTTACGTTTTAAAGCTACAAATAACTTTGGTAAAGCTAGAAAAACGTAGTATTACATTTTCCGCATTTACCAAAGTCTTCAGGAAACGTAATATTACGTTCGTAGCGGGGTAAGTTTTAAAGAACCAGTGTTCCATTTTTAGCACTTTCCAAAAGAGAGAGAATTAAAGTATTTCTCTCCGTGAAAATTAATAAAGTGAATATATAAGGGTGGTAGCGTTCTTCATAAAGAGTTTTTATTGTATATAAAGAAAATGTAAATACCCCAGTGATCAGGTGTTTTTATATTTAGTTAAAATAGGAGCTGGGTTAGAAATGATTATTATATATAATCGTTCAATTAAAGAAAATACTTACTTTCAATTCATATTATTGCCCAAGTATTGCCCAATAGAGAAGAAATAGGCTAAATTGTAAAAGAATTTTAAGTTTTTGATTAATACAATAGAAGTGTGCTTATTATATTTGATAATAAACGTTAGATTATAACGTTTATCACCAAATTAACGTTAAAACAAAATTACGCACACTATAATTAACATACTTGCATACTAAATATACGCAGACGTATATGATATTATATGAAAATGTTAAATATAAGAATATGAATAAGTATATATTTCATAAAACAATTTAAAACAAAAATGTAAATTTTTATTTTATGAACACAATGATTTTAAGAGGATGTTTAAAAATGCAGAATACTAGTAGACAGACAGACTTTCGCATTATTGCAACACTTCATTCAACACTTATACTAATATATATTTTTTTTTATAAATTAACTATTTAACTTTATAATTTTCCTGATTCTTATTGCAATATACAATTTTATAATTTGTATATTAATTACTTTTATATATAGGCTACAAATAATATGAACTTTTATTATCAATATAGAGACCTTTAGATCGAATTGGTATTTACAATATTCACTTCTTCTGTGACATTACGATAAGTGAGGTTTTGGCCCTGTAGGTATCTAGATGGCCATCAAAGGGTCCATTTGAGAAGGAAAATACAGAATTATTTCGGTAATAGTCGGAGTAGGACCGAAGAAGTTTTAGGAAGCAACACTTCAATTATTGGGCTGCAAGTTGAAATATTTACTGTGTAAATTCCCACTGTTGTCTGTCTGTCTGTCTGTCTGTCAGATAGACGATAGTAGAGACTACATCTGGAAAACTTAGGGACGGCAGACCCCGATTTACTGTACATGAACTTCTGGTGCAGACGGGAAGTCACGTGAGTTGAACTCAAACATTTTTCCCACCCATAACGGAGTTATATAGACGACAGGCATTACTATATTATTATTATCGAGAAAAGTATGATGTACAGGGAAAGACACTACTAGTTCCAGATCGAGAGCAAATATTTTAAATTATATAAATTATAAATTACAGCCCGGCATCATCAAATCATTTTTTCTCGTTACAACTTAATATATTTATTGAAACATCACATTAAAAATGTTTATTATTAATAAATTATGGAAATAATTTTATAAAGTCTGAAATTAATGAATTTTTTGACATTTAATTATTTTTGTTTATTTGTGTATGGCGTTGTTATTAAGACAGTAATTGAGGTATTTCTCGTGCAATAAACTACTTTTAAGCATAATAAATTTCTTTATCGATTCAGATATTATTATTTTCAGTGGAAAATACGACTCCGATCTGAAAAATAAATTTTCATTTGTCTTTTCTATAGATTTATCGATTCGATAGAAAGTAACACAAAATTATTACTTGGGATAATTGTAACAGGCAATTGCCTATTATGTTAATAAAGTGATTCTGATTCTGATTTTGATACTTGGGATAGAAATACAGTTGTCGCTTGACAATCCGACAGGTAGGGGACCAAAGGTGTGTCAGATTACTAAAAGTGTCCTGATTACCGAAAATAATTACATATTTCGCATTGTTTTGCTAGCAGTAACTTACAATATTCTCTACTCCGAATGTTCGAACTGAACTGCTCACATAAAACACACGAAATGTGTGTCATCGTGTAAAAATTGGATGGGGAAATCACATCGCGACATGCTTCTGTGCAAGCAGACACGTAACGGGGATGGGTACCTTGACGGGAGGTGCGTCGGACTACTGAGCATGTCGGATTAAAAAACGTCGGACTATAGGGGACAACTGTATATAAAAAATCTCGATTTGAATACGAACTTTATTTTATTTCTGAAATCGATTTCGTGATTTATACGTAATATGTTACGATAAAAAATCAAATAAATAAAAATTCGTTTGTAAACTGTTTAATAAAATTATTAAAATGGAACAGATATAACTAACAAGTAAGAGTAAAGGTTTCTTTTTCCAATAGTGAGACTGGCGATCTTCATCACGTCTTTCTTAATACCTCCGCAATTAAGGCATTTTTAAATAGGCAAATAATGTGAACTGCTTTAATCTTGTACTTTGTTTAATGCGGATAATTAAGAAAGACGTAATAAAGATCCCTAGTCTCACTATTCGAAGTAGAGACACTTACTTAAAAATTCATTTATTAATTAAAGATAAAAGCTATATTTCTATATAAACAAATAATAATACTTTATCATAGAAATCACAAATTTTATTTTATTTTTTTAAATTTTAATTAATTACAATAATATTTGAAATATTACGTAATTTCACTGGTTTTAAAACTTTAATATTGCAGTTAAGACAGGAAATATTAAAAACGATTCTTTCTTATATATAAAGGACATCGTTACATCGTTAGTGAAAGGGGGTGAAGCCCGTGCTACTCGGCGGTATTGCACCGGAGGAAGGACAAAGGGAAAGGGTGAGGAGAGAGTAGGAGGTAAGGGGAAGTGTAAAGTAAATAGGAAAGTTGGTGAAGGGAGTCATGAGCGCCTGGCGCCGCAATTATTTAAAATAAAACAGAAATACAAAAGACGTAAATACTAGTGATGTAACGAATATTCGGTTACTATTCGGTATTCGGCCTATTCAGCCTATTTTTCACTATTCGGCCGAATACCGAATATTTAATCACTATTCGGCCGAATACCGAATACCTAAAAACAGGAGTAATAAATAACAAAAACACAGTAAATTAATCATTTTGGTATTTAGATTTAATGTTATCGAGTTAGTGTTGTTTGTTTATATTTATTTATAACTTGTAACATGCACAAAATAAAAAAGAAAATAATATTAGTCACATGTATTCACAATTTATAATTACAAAGATCAGCACACGTACACGTCTATCGTTGGAGAATCCTCGCACATCTGAGGGTCTGACCCTGCCTATCCTTCTTTTTAAGCGCTCGTCTTTGCTCTTCCCTTTCTCTTTCCTCTATCGCTCTAATCCATGTATGCCTGTGCATACATCATAATACGCGCTCACGATACTTTCGATTCGTCACTTTTCCGTCGTAGAGTTCCCATTTTACAATTACGTGACTCAGCCTGGTGATAACGGAGAAAAGAGACAGATAGGACGTCGATATAAGTCACAGTTATGATTTCACAGATTCGAGACAGCTTGATAGCCCGAACGGCCCCAGGGTTTCGCCCATGCACGCTAAGTGACTTTCATTACAAGCATTTAGCTTTCCGAAGTCTATGACAACAATTGTTTGGCATTGAGGGCCGCGAATTTCGTGCCAATAAGCTGCCTCGATTTGTTCGATTACGTTATCAACTCAATTTCATATTTATTTTCACATTTTTACTTCGCGGTCATTCTCTGTTCTTCTTCCGTTATTTACACGTGTAGGTCATTTCATTGATATCCACATTTGATATAATCATTTATCACATACTTACATGACACTCTCGCCTGTCCGCTACAACTGTCAAGAACTAACGCGATTGGTGAAGCGTAGTGACAGTGGGCCAATAGAGAGCGCGATCCTTGCCATAATGCGGTTTGCGCGCCAATTTTCGTACGTGCGTTAATCGAGCCGAATAGTTTGGCCGAATATTCGGCTATTCGGCCACGCTCCTGGCCGAATATTCGGTATTCGGCCTGAGGCCGAATATACTATTCGTTACAACACTANTTAAGACATCTTTGACATTACAATGGTACACCATTCTATCACTTATTAAAACAAAGTGAAATAAAAAAAAATACTATTACTTATATAATTCTATTGAGCCTAATAGTTTGGCCGAATATTCGGCTATTCGGCCACGCTCCTGGCCGAATATTCGGTATTCGGCCTGAGGCCGAATATACTATTCGTTACAACACTAGTAAACACATAAGATTACAGAGCGTACATAGTTGATAAATATGCCGAACAGGCTACTGGCGTGGTAGAGAACGAGCCTAGTGCCGAGAGTCGGTTACTGTTGAAGATGTTTGCCCGCTGGAAAATTGGCGGGTTGTCCACAACCCTTGCAGCTGGGGGATGCTCCCTGCAAAGTTCTTAAAGTCTGCAAAGAGCCTTTTATTCTCGATAAAGTCCTGAAGATGGCAGGGCCAGTTGAGACCCTCGGTGAGGGCCGTGTCCCTGAGAGGTTATCCCTTCCATCTTATCCGCATACGAAGATAAGATGGAAGGGGTCATCATCCTCCCCCATCCCACAGCCACAGAGCCTGATGCCCTTACCCAGGAACCTCCGCAGGTAAGAGCCAAAGTTCCCGTGGGCCGACAGCAGCTGGGTGAGGGAGTGATCCGTGGAAAAATGCCGGTTCTTTATCCTGTTCTCGATGATGGGAATGAAGTTATGGGTCACCCTCCCAGTTTTGCTGGTGTCCCATTCCTTCTGCCGTAGTCTGATCAGGGCCTTGTGGATGGCTGACCAGACGTAAGAGACGGAAATTGCCGCATAACTGTGGCTGCTGGCAATCTGGTTAGCCTTCCTGGCAACCAGGTCTGCTCGGTCATTCCCCGGCACCCCTGAGTGCCCCCGTACCCAGAAGAAATTCAGGGCCGAGCACCTGTTAATGTCACTGATTAGTTGCAGGCTTTCTTCCACGATGGGCAATTTTCTGTTTTCTTTCCTAAGTTGATGTAGGGCAGTCCGACTGTCACTAATAATGTTGATGGCCACCTTCTTGAACTTGTCCGTATTATCCTTGATAAACCGAAGGGCGCGGAGGATCGCATATGACTCCGCCTGCGCAATGGAGCAATGAGGCTTTAAGCTATAAGCTGCCTGCCAGTGCAGCACCCTTTGGGGGTCCGCCAGGACCACCGAAGCCCCCACTTCAGTGTTGGTCTTTGAGCCGTCGGTATAAAAGTTAATCCCGTGTTTCGGGGTGACGGGTTCGATATAAAAGTTGCTCTTAATGGAGCAGGCAGGGTGGGGGTCCTTAGGACTATTGTTCCGGTCAATCCCGTTCGTGATAATCTCCTCCATGATGTGTTCGATAGAATCAGGTAACTTCAATTTTGTGAAGATGTTCTGCACCTGGGTGGGCATGGTCCCGCCCCTTTCCAGTAGCAGGAGAGACTTCTTGATAAACTTTCCTAGGGCCACAAGGTGGACCGGCAGGAGCCCTGCAATGGCCAGTAAGGCATCGGTGGAGGTGGTCCGATACGCCTTTGTAATAGCAATCAGGGCAGCCCTTTGGGCAGAGAGAAGTTTCCGCCTATGGTGCACTTTGAG